TTTCAGGTTTTTTTTTCAGTTCGTAACTCAAATCTAAGTACGTAAGTCATGTCAATATTTTCCTATGAGAGCGGTTCGTAAGTCAAAATGTTCGTAACTCAGGCCGTTCGTAAGTCAAGACCCCACTGTATGTATCAATTATAGATTTCATGTAGTAGTTGTTTTAAATCACGATCACCTAATAAGCTTTACACTGAGTCCAAATCAAGTCCAATGTTCTGTATGTCTCACCACTGCAATTAATCTTAATGTATTACATTTTATTCTTCTGCCCTTTGTAGATATCTCTGTAAATGCTTTAATATTGTCTCTTCCTAACACATATCTACCCAAAGTACCACCGCCACCAGCAACTGTGGCTTCCTTTCTACACATACTTAAAACAATAACAACGATAAACACAACCTATTTTATTTGCAGACATATTTGTCTACAGAAAAGTGAGGCAGGTCCTGAAATTCACACCTCTCTTCTCTCTTCATCTAATAGGTTTTTACAGACCCAATTATTGTACATAATGATATTGAAGTCAGGCAGCATGGAGAGAAAGATAGCTCTTGTTTCACACTCTATTCAGGTTTGAAAAGAATTTGTATTGATTCTGCACCACTGAATAAGAAAACACAGGGGGTTATTTGTATTTATAATTCATATTGCCTTTCCCAATCTCTATTCCCATCCCCTTTGCTTTCATAACTCTAGTTGCACGGTTTTGTAAACACAGAAAATTCATCTTTTAGGTCTCAGCATTCCTTCATCAACACACAAGTTCTAAAACATGAAGTAAATCATTCCCATTGTGATCTGAAAAGGTTCTCCTGGCCTTGCTCCTGTCTAAACTGAGGAATATGCTGTTTACGACCTGATAATCCAGTTATAGAGATATAGTCTGATCTTGCTATTTGCCATTTATCCAGCCCTCTGTGTGTGTGTGTGTCTCTCTCAGCAAACCAAGAACCATTATTCTCATTATCAATAACATGAGGCACGCCTGTGGCACTGTGGGTAAGCACATCTTACTATGTTGCTATTATGTATTAGGTTTACAAAGTTTAGTTCAATAATCATTTAGGTTAACTGAACATACTTTGATTAACTAAAAAAAGCTACCTCCATTAGTTAACAGGCAGGGTGAAAATAACATGGTTATTTTTAAATATGTTTAAATTAAAATCGTGAATGACAAGTTTCATCTGAGAACAGACATTCCTTCCTGCATGAAAGAGAATGAGAGAACACACCTTCTAAAAGCCAGTGTAGTATAGCAGAATGTCAGATTTTGACTGGAGAGATCCATGTTCAAATACTCATTCAGCCATGCAGACGCTTCATCCTGAGCCCATCTCACTTAAACCATCTCTAACCTGAATTATCGTTACACTATCAGACAAAGACTTTTACTGTAGACAGGCCCTTTGATGTTTTCAGTTGAGTACACATAGTATTATTAAACTTGTCTTAATATGTCTTTGTGTTTTGATTGTTCAATCTGCCTTTTTATTAAAAAAAAGCTTTTGTTTTTGAAAAATCTACATTTAAGATTTTGGTTTTGGAATGGTTATCAACATTTTTGCTGCATTCTTCATTATCATGGTCGTGTTGGTACACATAGGAAGCCTGGCAATAAACTGAAAGGGCGTGACGATGTCCCTACAGTACTTCTGTCACTCAAATAAGGACACTGATTAGCTGAAATGGGACATGGAGGCATTACTGCCTGGTGAGGAACAAAATATGTCCTGCTCCCTCTTTGCATCAGATTTAAAAGAGGCCTTATGATTCTGATGCTACAAACTGAATATTAGGACAAACAAATGCTGCAAGAACACCTTTTTTTATTGATTTAAAATATATGGCCAAAATTAATTAGGTCATAACTTTCAGCAAAAAGAGATGGCAACGGGTTCAAGATCGCAGGCTGTACTATTGCACAGAGCTGGTGTATATTAGATTAGGCATCATTCCGTCTCGAGAGACTATGCCATTGTCCTTCTCAAAACAGAAAAGCAACTAAGAGACAAGCAGAGCAAGGCAGCCACTTAAGGCAACACATTCCAGGTTATCTGGAATTTTACAACTCGGGTGCCAAAATAATTTGACTGACCTTAATTGCTCTGTGAGACCCGGTGTGGTGTAGTGGACAGAGCGTGGGACCAGGAATCAGATCTGCCTTCAAATCCTGCTTGAAGTGTAAACTCAATGGCAATGGTAAACCACTCCTTGAGCGTCTCACATACGTCAAAACCCTATTAGTGTCACAGTAAGCCAGAAGCAGCTAGGGGGTACATAAGAATACAATTACTATGTACCATGCATTTTGAGAAGGGGTGCCATTTGCATCTCAGCCTCACAGCGCAAAATGGTTTAGGCTGGCCCTGGAACTAGATATAATCTTTCATCCTTCATTGATTTTATCCTGAGAGAGCTATTTTAAAAGTATCTAAAGGCAAAGTACAATCTGCCCCAGCCTGTCAGGACCCGAGCATCTCATTCTGCTTCAAGTGCAGGCGAGGCCTATTGGTTTAGGTCTGATAAAAGAAATAGCTTTTTCTTTCATTCTGATTTTGATTCCATTCAACAGGGTGAGAATATGCAATTAGTGAATTATATTTAACCATGAATGTGTGACTATTCCTGCAAGACATTTCTATTAGTTTCCTTTCTTCTTTTCTGTCCTAGTCAAAACCCACCCCCACTTTCTATTCACGATGGGATGGCAGTGTTAACCTGTAGCATGTGCATCATGAAGTCCTATTGAGAACTATAATGTGTCACTGATAATGACACTGTCTTTGTCTCCGGGTCACACAGGTTCAGAAGAACTAGCCACTCGATACCCCACGTTACATTTGAAGCGATAATATTGTTCCTCCTGAAGGTTATTCTGCTGCTGCAAAGCTTGAACTTTGGGCAAAAGAAACAAAAACAAAGGGATGGCAGTCTTCTAATTACAAATATCTGTAAACAACACATTTAATGCAGTGGCTTTTCAGGATGCAAAGAATACTCATTCACTAAATTCCTTGTTCTTGTTGATTAAAGATATCTGCACAGGAGGGGACACCTAGATAAGGAATTTCAAACCCCCATGAGATTTCCAGCAAGGAGTAATCTCCCACCTCAAAGGCTCTATATACACACACACACACA